CCTTTATTGAGCACGACAGTTAAGCTCTTGGCCAGGATAACACAGTGGGTCAGAATAAATGTCAAATCGAGAGGCAAGACCGCTAGGAAGGAATAGAACAGCGCAGGAGGCAGGGAGAAATGCAAGTACCCAATGTTCGTCTCAACCAGAACAACAACAACAGTCCTGACAGTGGGAACCGTGTCTTTATGGGAAGCACCGTAAGGAAGTAAAAGTGTTTGTGCGTACAAGACCCGCATGACACAAGCATTGGCGTCGTGCTCTGATAATGGTTCAACGCCTTGAGAATTACAAATGGTGCCTTGAGTACAGTGTAAGCGATGTTGTCCGAGTCGATAGATCTAAATTGGCTTGAACGAAATATATGAGCGAAAAAAACGACACAGCGTTAATTGTAACACGGCCAAACCACTCAAGTAGTCTCATTTCAAATTTGTGTCGGACCTACAGCCAAGGGGTACACAAGAGACATAATCGCTAACCGATCTCGTAGCTCGCGAAAACTGGTATAATAAGCAAAGTGCAAGAAGGATAGGCATAGAGGTCCGACACGAGTCGCAACAACTCACAGGCCGAAAAGATATGAATGCAGACTTGACAGGCATGCTATAGACAAGCAAATTTCGATTTGCGTTTTTGTAGCTCCTCCATCCGAGAGTTGAGCTGCACACGAGCATGTTCCTTCGCACGTCGTCCTTCGTCAAGATGTGATTCGAGGGACTGTTTGTCTTCCACGATCGATTTCCGAACAATGACAACCCCACGGCGCGCTTCCTGTAACTCGTTGCGAAGGCCCTCGATTTGGGAATTAAGCGAGTCTCGTTCCCTCGCAAGCTCCGTTGCTTGCATGCGCACGTTGAGAACTATAAGACAAATATAAAAAGCTTAAACACTAGAGTGATCAGGAAAAGATACATACGATTCTTCTCAGAGTCTCTCAATGATGTCTGTAGTGTGCTCACGAGATCCATCTGAGTAGCCAAATCACTCTCACAGTGAGATAGCTGTTTGTTGAGTGTCCTGATCATCACATCCTGTTGCTTCGTTTGGTCCTCGAGCTTGGCGTCAATGACCTTGGAGTCTACCTCAGCACTGCTTGGTGCAAGTACAGAGGTAACTGACGTAGCAGAAGCGTCGGTAAAGTATTTCCAAAACATAGTGAAAGCCTACTAGATTCTAGAAGGTTGAGTAGATAAACTGAACTGGGTTTCCTGCTGGCGGAGGCGTGGGTAGGCGTCACATGATCCTTACTAGCCAATCAAATGAAATGCTAAAATAATCAATTTGTGCCATCGGTGTAGTTTTCTGCTCTACGACTTCGTCCGGACAGTGGACACTATCAGCATGACTCGGACAATTTCATTAGTTGAACTTTGTCTTCAGAACACGCAAGTGTACCGACTCTCACCTCCCAAAGTTCAGACATGTGCGGGACAAGCATCATTTGATCATCCTGCATACCTTGAATCATTCCTTGTCGGGAATGGAAAGTCTAGAGTACTTTCAAGGGCAAAGGTCATCAATCAGGTGGCACCACCCGCATTGAACAGGATGATCCTGATGGTTATAAATCTCGCCTACCAGACTCAGGCAAAGAGAAGAAGAAAGCCTTTCCTGATAACAGTGAAAACGGATCTCGCCCTCGGTGCTACGCTGAAATCGCAGCCACTCAAAACGGAGGGGAAAGCTGACGCTGCAGTTCGCCTTATGAATGACCGTAGTTTTGTTGTGTTTTATGTGCAAATGATGTAAGAGTGCTCACACATTTCAACCAGAGTTCGGCCGTCTTTCGCAGCATGTTTCATCTCGTGTTTCATGGTTTCTTGACTTCGGTACTTCATCTCCCATATGAATTAGCCTGGCATTTATCATGGCGTCCAGGATTGTTGACTTCAGGGTAGCAAGTGCCCAGCCACTCTGCGTTCTGATGCGGACTTGATATTAATTAACCGGGTGCTTCTGCGGAGGGGCCACTCTTTCTTCGAAGCTGTTAACCTCCGCCTTTGGAAGGCAGTCTACGTCCAAGACAGTGGCGTGAACACGAAATTGACGCAAGATCCTGGTGATGCCAAGAAGAAGAATACTGAAATTATTGATGACGAACAGGAAGTCGAAGTCGAAAAAGCGAGGAGCTGGCTGAAAACGAGTCGGATTTCATTTACAAGAAGCAGCTATCATGTTGACAGTCTTCCAGGGCCAGAACAACGATCGATCGATGGCTGACATGGATCTTCCTGGCATATTTACATTAACACTAAGGGGATACCAGAAGAACCAAATTATATTGTTCTCCTCTACTGATTCATGCAAGGCGGACGCATAGAAGCTGTGTTTATGCATCTATGGAGTGAGTTAGTCTCCCAACCATGCTATAGGAACAGCTGTCAACCGTTCTTATATCCATGCTTTCCCCGCCGAACTGTAGTCGATCTGACTGAAGACGAGAAGTCAGTCTTGACTTTCCTAAAGCCGAACACAAATTCAAAGGAGGGTCCTTGCGTTTGTATGATACTATCCGTTTCATCTGCCAATGTCAAGTTATCAATGTTATACCACAGTGGTAAACAATGCATTATATCTTGCGACGTGTACGGACAAGGGAGGGTTGCCACGATGCACAACGTGCTCATAAGGACCGCTCAAGGAGTAAGACCTCATTGAGGTTCTCCGGCTGTCTGGTCAAGATAGTCCACACCAGGTGTTTTCAAAGGACGAAAAAGAAGGGACGTCGAACATCAGAAGTCTTCCCGTGAAATGATTCTAAATCCTCCGCTAAACTGGATGCGCCGGTACAAAATCTCAGTAGGTGCACCTCTACATAGTCCATTCCATTCTGATCCAAATTAGGTTCAGGGTATCTGACATGGTATCGTTTTGATAGGACCAAGGGGCCTCAACTTGAAGCGCATTGCTGTCATATCAGAATTCGAGCGGAAGCCCAAGGTTCCCATTGTCAGCTCGAAGCTGTTAGTCTGAACTTGCGCGCAAGCTACCTGCCTCTTGAATTTCCCGAACATTACTTCAAACACTAGCTGACGACTCAGTGACGAGCGCCAACCACATCTTCATGATCAGTCCCCCAGAACTTGTTGCCCTGTGCCCCGCTAATCGATATTACTCAGATAGACTCTGGTGGAACGTGGCAACTGAAAATCAAGGTTGGCATTGGTATCCGTCTATGGTTGACCGTACTGATTTTGGTGACAGACATCGATGACAGGCACCGAATTCGTAGGGCAAGAAAAATCGAAAAACTTTAAGTGAGGTCTTTATCATATTCATTAAACCTTCTTTGAGGTTGATCACACCGAAGGCCGCAAGACTGTCATCGACACAGAGGCGTTTCGGGAGGGCGATAAATCGGGTAAAGTAGACCCGGGGAGTCTCGAGGACCTGGAAGTTATATTCGGTGACAAGGAATGACATCGAACTACTAATTGCAAGTCTGCGGAACGAGATATTAATCACTGAATCAAAATGGACTTGAATAGGAACATCAAAACCCACGACCCAGACACAGCCGCTGTGAACTTAATAAAAAAATTGTTCCATGACCAGTATCTCCAATGAACATATTATGATCACTTCCACAGATCGACAAACGACTGATTGCAACTCTCCCAACGCCAACACTTTGCTATTCCATTGTATGATCACTGTATCTAACGGGGCACAGAATACATGAAAGGAAAACCATCAAAGTGAAGGCCCTGCATCGTAATGCCAAGGTACTATGATGAGACATTGTAACGTGAAGCCCTGGAGTCCCCCTGAGGTGTAAAATTACTCCAGGAGAAACAGAATCCTCTAGCCATAAGTGCTCGTAGTCCGTCTTGATCGCGCTGCAAAATCAACATGACCAAGACTAGTGGGGTATGTCAGCACACCGTGACGTTATACAAGTCCGTCCCATAACAGGATCTCGAAGACGCTCTGTGGAAGACATTAATTTGGTGCGCTTGTTGGTCCTAGGGTAAAAGAAGCCTTCGGCGTAACCACTAGTGCATTATACTCGTCCTTGAATGCAGCTAGAAATTGCCGTGAGGGCCATGGACATTATGGGTGAATTATTGAAGCGTTATTAGTAGCTTGAACGACTTTCTTGCCGCATGGAGCATGGCCCAAACAACCTGAAATTCCTCATAAAAGGTGTCGGGAGCCCATGGACGGCGCTATCTCAGAAGAATCTGCTCTGTTTATTAGCGGCTATGAAGCGAAGCCGAAGCCAATGTGTCCAGTTGAGCATCGCGAGGCAGACCACACCTGCCACAGCCTCCCACAGGCACCACTGACTAGGGCTGAAAGGACACTAGAAAGGTGAATGGCAGTGATTTCTAATCTGCGAGAGTTCTCGTCAGGAAGCTTACCACTTCTACCCCTACCTCGCCGTTTGACTCGTCCTATTTAAGAGGATACCACTGAGCTTTGATACGACTTAGTGAGAGTATATCATGTCCATGCGCGACTACAAGTCTATACCTGGCCAGCTGCATTCGGTACTCATGACCCGCCAGCAGGGTGGGTACTAGTGGGGGACAGGAAGATTCATCCTTGAGTATGAGCCGAAGTAGTTGGTACCCGTGTACGGCCGTTTCCGAACCGCACTGGTGTCCGTACAAAGACGGAACCGGACATCTAAATGGGTGCGCAATGGATAACTAATGTATCCGACGCTCACTCAGCCCTGCATGATGGGTGGCCCTATGAAGAAGCCTCATGTGATGCTGGAAGGAACTTATCAACCAAATTGGGGCTTTTGGGAAAAATAACCGTAAGACCCAGGTCCCACTGGGCCATGTGTTTTACTAGTAAGGTGGCTACCCGTTGACTCACCGTGACAGCATGGGCAAGGCTCGATCTGCATGTAGGCGTTTTTCAATGAGTGAATGATATCACGGGGTGCCTACTGGAGAGCGGCCAACTGAAAGGAGCACCTCTGCGCTCAAAACAGCAGTTGGTTTGTGATCGGATCAAGCATGCTTAGTCAGCTATAACACACTTGAAGTTTACCAAAGTTTTACACCAACTTGATCACTATACAGTAAGCATGCCCTTGTCTACGAACTTCCTCAATGACTCCAAGTTTGTTCCCTCGGTGTTTTTCAACGGCTGGGCTGACCTCATGCCAATTGAGTATCCAGCAGTGGCAGTTCTGCGGTTATAGGCGTTCTTTTGTGTTCTAGACCCTTGATGAGTAGTATCCCGATGTTAATTCAACGTAAGTACCTCTGTCACTAATCAAAGTTTTGGTGCTAAATGTCACCCCTTTTGTTATCAGCGCCTTTGCCCAAATAGTAGGACCCTAAATGCGTGTGCTTTTGGAATGCTCACTCAAAGCCAAATTATAATAAGTCCATCGTACGACTGTGGAACCGCCCTTTCCGTTGTCCAACGGCTTTAATGACCTTTTCCCCAGAGCTCTTCTATCCCTGAAATTAGCTGAGCGCATTGCAACGTATGAGTTCAACTGCAACAACAACAGCGGGCGGCCTTAGTTCATTTTCTTATGCGCAAAGTTAGTTCCAGTGATGTTCCCGACTTCCAATCTGATCTAATTCAAACACTGCTTTCAGTTGCTGTCGCTGTCGCCGTCTTGTATGATCACTGTATGCAATCCGTCAAGTCTTATGACCACTCACTCAATTATCTTCTGTTCAGCATTGACCTTCGCTCGTGAAGTGAGTCACTGTTGAGCCATAAACGAGCAAAACTTAATGATGTTGCTGGACTCTTAGATAGATTATATATGGGTGAGTCAAAACTTGAAAAAATGGTGTCCGTTCGTCATATGCTAACTTCATTTATGGCTAGCGGAGGCCGCCTTCAATAGTGGCCGCCTTATATCTATTGGTATGTGCAACTAGTATAGATTTTTCTAATCTTCACGTTGGTTAGGACCGCTACCTGGGCGATTCCGTCGTGATGTAAGCCCTGGTGTTTAGCCCTTATCAGTAATCTGATTTGTTCTTAGCATTGGTGTATATCGTATGTTAATATTTATCTCACAAGTTATCTCTCTCACGCGCTCTAGTGTGCCTCACTGAAGATGCATCAACACAAGTGAGCACGTTTGTCTCAACGTATGATTTGTGGTTTTCTTACGAAGTCGTTTACAGGAGTATGGTCTTTAACGCGCTCTATTCGCACTTCCTGCTGATAGCATTGGTTTCACGCATTCTTCAGATGCAAGTCCATTGATTTCGTATTCGAAATGACCAGCATCTGACTTATACCCAAGGCTTTCGGCTTTTCCAGGTCCGAGCGTGGGGTACTCTTTTGTGTTCGTGGCTCACTCAGTGTAAATCACATTTGTGCATATACAATTCAACATTAACACCACCCGCACAGGCATCATGCAACTCCGAATATATGCTATGTACCGGCGGACTAGGCGGATACTAATGGTATTGGTCTTTGCTTTCTCCAGCGAGGTCTTTGCTGTCATTGTAATCATCTGGAGAACCATTGGTCCAGCAAGCCAGTTGGTTGGTACGTACTGCAAAGAGACGTGGAGCCACACACACTTGTTCACTAAACATCACCAGTCACCGACGAGTCTCCAAGCTTTCCCGGGCAGCACCTGTGCACCTTCTCCGGGATCAACGCAGATTTCACTTATTTGTTCATACCCGTCTTTTGCTTCGAGCTATTGCTCTTCTTCTTGGCCATTAGAGTTTCCCTCAATAATATGAGAGAGAGGAAGGCCACCCCTGGTACCTCCAGCTTGCGCGTAAATTCATTCATGAGCATACTCGGTGCGAGACAGCATTTTATATTTCTTCATGTTAGCGTCATCCTTTTTTTGTATGTTCCTAATCACCGGTTGATAATTGATCTATCTAGAAACCTGGCGATGTGCGTTATCGTCATGAGCCTGTGGCGGAATGCCGCTGTGAGATTTCTATTGGGTCATTTTTGACGTATTGCTCACTGTTACTCATTGATTCCTGCACGCAATCAGGCCCTACACGCAAATATATCTATCCCGTTCATCATGCTTGTCCAGACCATAATTGGCACCCGCATGGTAATCAACTTCAAGGAACATTGTTCTCGCCGGTTGAACTCGGAACCGGTCATGATCACTGGGTCAATACACTTCGCGGGAGTCGGTGAAGAGTCTGCGCGCCAGGTCACGAACTATGACCACTCGAACGAAGGTGACGAGGAGATGCAGCCGGTCAAGAGTGATGAAGAGAGTACTGAGGTCATCATTTACGAAGAATTATAACTTTTGATTGCTGCGATTCATATACGTGTACAACGCAGAGTCCATACGACTGGTGTAAATACAATATAAGGTACTGGATATTACGATGCAAACTATTGCTATCTGCGTTCGACACTAACGCTCAGTCAGTATCTGAGCCTGAGTCTGAATTAGGCACAGGGAGGTGCAATAACGAGAGTCATCGCTGCGATTCTCAGTCTGGGCGTTGTATCGGCCAAAAACATTATCCCTGCAGAACCTCCTGGATGTTTCTTCGTGGACCTTTGCAGATCTTGTACTTGTTGCAGAGCATATCAGCGAACAGAATCTCGTTTGATCGAGATGCCACTGCGCCCACTTTGTCGCGGTTTATAGTATGAAATATCAGGCTAGCCTAGGAGCATATCATGATAAACGGGAATACAAATAGAAAGTCGAAAAAAAGACTAATACAAAATTTGTACAGGGGCCATTGCACTACAGTCTAGTTACCAGTGTCACCGTCAAGTAAAAAAGAAACTGAGCGTTATTGTAGAATGAAACTTTGAAATGAATACCCTCCAACTTCAGACGGAGTAAGGGAGAAACGGTCTTCTCGTATGAGCAAGTCATCTAGATCTAAGATTGAACGGGGAATAGTTGTAACTATTGCAAAATACCAATATGTCAAGTGCAATGGGTTCAGTAGACACCAGGTATCAGTCGGTACCTGACCACCTTCGCCCACCTCGTCCACTCGTCTCCGAAAGCCGATTTCAGTGCTTCATCTTCTTCGTTGACCCTAAACACGAGGTTGATTACAAGAAGCGTGATTCCCGCAAGCCATGACACCACAGCCAATTTGAGTCCAGGAATATCTAGAACTCTGGAGTGTCTAAGCCACGAAGTGGGCGATCCGTGTAGCATTACCAACCCAATCAACTGCATGATACCTGCTGTGTATGCTGGATGGCGTATGATAGCGTATGGTCCTGTCGTGACAATATGGTGTCCTTTGCGGACACTGATTTGGAATGTGAAAAAGCGACCGAGGGTGCGATAACACCACCAACGGACGAGACCCCCTACGACAGCAAGTGTGGTGCCCAAGATGAAAGGGAAAGTGATGGGCGTGTCACGAATCCCGTGACCGGCCGCGTGTTGTGCAATGGCTTGTATAACGGACAAGGAGTCTGATGTGTGAGAGGTAATGATAATGAGCTCTGCGACAGAAACAATCCAGTAAAATGTCTAGCGTATCGCTGTATAGAAATGGTCGTGGACAAGCAGTAACAACACTCACTTTCATAATGGGAAACCCGTACATAATAAACCGAGTGAGCACCCGCTCATTGAACGTTTTGGGAATAGTCTCTTCACTCGAGGGGACGTTCGGAGGTGTAAACGATACGTGCTGCGTGATAGCAGACGAGAGAATAAATGGAACTTTGAGAAGTGATGCCATGTTCATGAGGAACGATCGACTTTTCAATGGTTACTTTTTAAGCCCGTACGGCCACTTCGTGAGTATCCATAATACTGCCCAGGCATTGTTGAATATAGCCAGGGTTTCGCCGTTTCCTCTTATGAAGTGTTGTCTGCGTAAATCTCTAGTGCGGCATTCAAGATCGGATCATATTAGCAATTTAGCAAGCAGATATCACTGTCTTGCCTAATTTCTTGTTTCAGAGATACGGTGCTTGCTCGAAATTTCTATGACGACTCAAAGGACGAGGTGATCTTGATATTGGCTGGTAGCCTGGTTATAGTGACGGGAGTGATGTCCAGGTCCCGTCGAAGTCGGTAGATGTTCTACGCCGTTGATCTCTGCGGAAAGAATTCTTCAGAATACGAATACATATCAACTCCGCACCAGCATAGAAACTGGAGGTAAATATATGCCTATATTCGAGTTAGGATCCAGGAAATGAGAGGTATATATGTAGTTGTTTCCGATGTCGGAACCGCCTCGCCCCTGGTGGCTCTAAGGGGAGCAGGATTCTCCTCGATCAGTATCATGATCACGGCGGGCCTGAGTCTCCATTTATCACTCCATTTGTCACGGTATACTGAAAGAGAGGAATCATGTACGCACGTGTAACCTCGACGGGCACGATGTCCGGTCATCGAAGTCGATAGCAATTCTGCAAGAAAACAATATATATGAGGTCCGTATCAACATAGAACTGGAGGAAAAGACATAGTGAAAGAAGCTTATATTTGAGCGGTTGGGATCCTCAAACGGTCACAGGTATATACATAGTGATTTCCGAATCCCATGCTGGAACCGCCTCGGTGGTGTCAAGGGGAGCGCGGTATACTCCATGAATATGGCCCGGCCACTGGGTGAAACTGCCACCCGAATTTCGTTTCGTATGCTTGAAGAAGTAACCATAACCACCGCACCTAGCATGATACAGCCTCTCGTGAACAAGCACGGAACCTCAAATCCTCCATATTGTTACCGCTCTGGAATACGACTCGGATGTGTATAGGATACCATACTTATACTCCGCCTGTTTTGGAAGAACTGTGAAAACGTATTGCTCATAAAACTACATCGGCGTCGCTGAGTGCCACCTGTTTTACTCCAAACTGTCTATTCTGTGAGATCCGAGCCAACCTCTATCTGAACGGGGGAAATGACCTGGATACTAATCTCATGTCGCCGAGCCTACAATGTGGTCACATCAGACCGTTCCTGTGTTCAAACAAAGAACACGTACCCATGTCACAGTAAGCCGACCTTGTTCCAAGAATATCCTGGAGCCAGCTGTCGGAAATGGCGTACGACAGACCGTTGCAATGTATGCACGATTCGAGACGATGTCTTCACCAAAGGAGTCAATCATCCGACCCGGCTTGCAAATGCGAAGATCCGGTGAGTCAGGATTGTTGACATTTTCCGGACGAGCAATGACTCGCTTATTGAAGTCCCAGATGTGCACATAGAAGTAACCCTCACTGGAGAGTCCTTCCAGTGTTTGACCAGGATCAGGAATACGATCTTGGGGAAGAGCATAGGCCATTTTGCTGCCAAACACGCTGATATGGTAGCTTTTGTGGTGCGGAAAGTAGCACGCACACTGAGGTGCCCAATCTGACCAGGGAATGTCGACGAGCATATCTGAGCGCAGGGCCGTGTCAAAGAAGATGGCCATATCGATGACTAGGATAGCGTCTTTCCCCGCTTTGGGAAGAAACTCTACAACCATAATCTGCGACTCCAGGGAGGGTACATAGCTCGGCATGAGTCCTGGGCGTGCTGCTTTGCCATGCAGTGATGGGTGGCCATGAACAATGACGTGCGAGTTGGATAATGATAGATGGAGAATCTTGGGAAGGTGATATATGATTCGGCACTGAGGCGGCCCATCAAGTCCTTGTAACGTGTACAAGTATATCGAGTCTGGGCCAATGATGACAAACTTCTGTTCATCAACTGGATAAAAAAGATCTAAATGGTAGAAATCCAGTTGACATAAAAAATGCTGCTTATACTGAGTAGCAGAATTTTCACAAACAGAGGGAACTTACCCTATTCACATATCCCTTCCTCCAATTGATCACTTGTATGAACATGCCGGACACAGGCACAAGACAGTCATCCGCCATGTCCTCTATGTAATAGAGGATAAATACGTGATCACCACAGATTTTAGGCGGTGACAAAACAGCACGATAATCGCCAGGTGCATCAAAGGTATGCTTGCACTCCAAGGAAGTGCACGCAGCACTCGGATGTCGACGCTGGGATGAAGCCGGTCAGAACTCCACCCAACAGACATGGTAATCTTGTTTTGCATCGGTCACAGTGACACAATGATCAGGCTCAGAACACATAACCATAAGATCCTGCAGAGGGTCAAAGGTACTAGTAAAAAAGCCCTCGACGTCACTGATAGACCATGTCCGGGAGAGTGTAGGATCTGTGCCACAATCCTGAATGTAGAATTTGTCTTCGTTCAGCGAGTGTGACCACCAAAGCCCACATTTCACATCTTGGATCGGTAACAATGGAAAATATGTGGCAGCAGTAGTGACCACTGTTTCAAAGGTAGTGGTCGCATGGAAGTCGGATCGCCACAAAGATGCCAATTTCTTGAGCGAACACAGCCTCTTTCTGGAAACGCCGGACGAATTCATGGCAGCGGTCCCAGTACCAATCAAGCCTTGAACGTGAATTTCAAGCTTGTATTGAATGTAGACAGAATTCCGGACCACAAGCCAAAAGATATTGCAGGTCTAGTATGATAAAATGTTAGCCATGGAGGAAATTATGGACTACGGGGAATAGCGAACCATTGCACAGCGACTAATGTCCCTGGGGTTAAGAAGGATTAGAATGTGACATATGAGCTCTGCAGGAAGCGACAAGAATCCGACCGCAATAGTCATGGTTGTAGGATTGAAGAGAGGACCTTCGAATTTGAAGATTTTAGGAGGCCTCTCCTCTCAGAATCCATCTCGCGACTGAGGACATCCTGGAATATCCGGGACATCCGACCCACATCATTTAGCACGCTGTTCCGTCACCCGCGCAATTGAGTAAGCAGCCCTGAAAGCTTATTGGGAATCGATGATATACTGTCACGTGTTCACTCCCATATGACGTCATACATACTAGCTCCGGATTCTCCAGTACGTGCCATTAACCATATTTCAAGTTGACTACTTAGCATGTCACGACTAGGTCTTCCTCTCCAATATCGCCAACACAACCATCACATGTCGAAGCTATGTCCAAAGCCTCGTTTGGAGTGGTGATCGATTGGTCGAAGAGATCCATGCAGTGGCGATTTGTTCAGGTAAACCTTGCACTTTATTCTGCAAAGGGCACAAATGTTAACTATAAGTAGTCTTCCAAGTCTTATCATACTTCGGCGCCGTCTGTACTTTCTCATCTTTTCAGGCGCCCCGTCCTCGGCTAATTTCTTCTAAAACTTCCACCTCTAGGCATCACCCTGCAGCAATTGAGACCATTTCGCTGCAACAACACCCCAGGCTCAGTTTCTCCGTATGGCACACAGGCCCGCACCAATCTCTGCCTGAAAACAACACCAGTTAAGTGGTATATTAGGTGCTTCTCGTTCTGCCATATGCATAACCGAATCTCCAGAAGGTCTACGTAACGCGCGTTTCTTGTGAAAGCTAACGCTCAGACCAGTCAGTCGTCCTCAGGCCTCAGGGGCAACTCCACCTGCGACGCAACCAAACTCGACGCCACAGCCTCCGCCTCAGGCATAGACGACGACACAACAACCTGCTCAAGAAGAAAATTGTTGTTTCACATCGCACTCAGGTGCATCCCACGCCACCATCCTCTCTCTACCTCTGCCACTCAGCCTGGTCCCTCGTTACTCTAGCATGCGTTTGTTGGCATTTCTTCATCAACACGTTTATGTTGATCGAGGACACGAGCCTCCGCGACCCATAGTCATTCGTCATTGTCGAGAAAAGCCATGACTTGTAAATTCTATATAATGTTGAATTTCAGTCTCAAATCTGTCGCCCCATCTCTGCTCGATTCGGTTCCCGTCGTTTCCTACGGAGCTCATCTGTTACATCTTACCCTCAGGAACGATCGTCGTTGTACAATGGTTCTTCATTTTCTGCAGGAACACGTTACTGATATTTCTTCTGACAGCGTTGACACTTCCGTCAGAAATGTCATAATGAAGGTACGTGCACTTCGAGTGGACAAGTCTATTCGGAGAGTGTCCCACGAACGAATGGCCTACAAAGTCTTTCCTAACTGGCCCACTGGCAGCTGAGAACCAACGACCCAGATGAATTTCCGAGCGCAATTTGTCATCGTCACATTCTGTCCAGAGTATCAGCCCCTCTTTATTCTTATTGGAGACTCAGGTCAGCGGTGGTCCATGTCGCGAGAGCATTATCATTAAATTTCGGCGTATTCACGGTGAAGCTTTGCACTGGGCCAGGCCATGACACGTTAATTATGATATTCGGATTGATCCTCAAATGTCGAATGATGACAATGCAAGCAGGTGAGATTGACTATGCGTATGATTGTCCCAATAGGAGCCATAATCGTGGTATATGCTAGTTCAATGTCAATGCAAATGATGATGAGAAAGTCGAAATCGAATCAAAGACTAATGCAAAATCCAACATTTCTACTGTATGCAAGCATATCCGTTAGCGTCTTCGACCAACACAGAAAAAATTTCGAGCGCTATCGCGGAATTAAAAGAAAGGTCAGAGAACCAAAGAGTGACTAAGTGAAACGTCTCAATATATATGCAAGTGAAAATCAAAAAAATGGATGAACGTCATAAAATCATCATACGACATGTTATCGGGCGTTCTTCCAGCTCGACGGGGGAGCGGCTTTTCGTCCGGGATTCTTACCAGGCGTCTGTAGTTGCAGATTCGAAGGTTGAGAAGCACCAGTCTTGGCGCGTTGTCTGGGTCCTCCTCCATAAGCACTTGCAGCACTGTTTGGGACGCCTTGCCCAGCCGACATGTAGCTCGAACGGGAGGACATTGATGGGCCAAACGACTCCCCATACACACTCCTCGACCCTCCTCCGAACTCACTCTGCGTACTGCCGATCCGACCAGGGAACATGACAGAGCCTGTGGACCACTGATTCGGCATCATACCAGGCATGCTCATCCCAGGGACGCCCAGCATGCCCATCCCACCCCCGCCTCCTCCCATCCCACTGTACACGCTACCTCCACCGCCTCCATACACAGACCCGCCGCCGATATTGGATCCTCGTTCCCACTCCTCTCCGGCTAATGTCATCGCATGTTGAGCCACTGCCATTTGGTACGCTTGCTTCGCGATCATCATCGCACGCTGGTGAGCAACGAAGAAGCTCTGGTCGGGGCTGAGCTGAGGAGCAATCATAGGTCCCATACCTGTCGGCATGGGCTGCGGCCACGCCCCCCACGTAGGAGCGTTCATCCCAGGCATCGTGCCATCCATGCCCATCGTAGGATTAATGCTCATCCGCTGTCCATGCTGAGGCACGAGATCATCGTCAGAACCATTGTGCACAATGGGTCCACGACCATTGACGATTTTCCCGAACTACAACCAAAAAGTCAGGACGACCATCAACAATCACAAAAGAGAACACAAACCTCAATAGCAGACCTCGCCTCACTCCGTCTCCTCTCATTCCGCTTCTCCTCATCAGCAGCATCATTCTTCACCCTCTCACGACCACGCGGCGGATCATCCTTGAAGCTCACAGTCGACTGCTTTGCATTCGGCCCGCGCGCCTTGAGCGTCAAGTCCACATCGCTATCATCCCTCCGCCCAGCGTTCATCCCGATATCACTACCATCACGAGGAGTGAACGGCGCACCAAGACCACTGCTAGAGTCACCTGTTGAGCTGCCGGCGGGGCTCTCGCCTCGTAAAGAACTATTACTGGCGAAGGGGCGGGAGGGCATGAGTGACTGCGATTGCAACCTGGATGGCTGTGGTACTGCGGGCATGCTAGGCCTTGAGGAAGGGGAGACAAGCGTGCCTGACGGCGATTGAGACATTCTGCTATCCATCACACTTGCCGTCGAAGGAGGGCGTGTCTTGTATAAATCCTTCGAAGACCCCCAACTAGCTTTCACAGAAGGTGAATCGGGCACAGCGGTGATGAGAGGGACAGGTGGGACACGAGAAGAGCGTGAGGACCGAGAAGTTGAGACGACGGATGAAGCATCTGACTTGTCAGTTGATGGTACATTGTGCTGCTGAGCTAGGATGCCTGCACGAGAACGAGGAGCGAATGAAGACTTGATAGGAGAAGGAGATCGTTGTGGGGAAGAAGATCTTTTGGAGACAGTGGAGAACGTTGTTGTCGGCGAAACTGGTGATACTGCCTGAGAGAGATCAGTGGTATATCGACGCGGAGGGCGTGAGGTGACGCTGAAAGAAGCTGGTGGTTTATACTCTCTGACAGGCGTTGGCACGATGCGGTCGTCACGAGGGGATTCTGGCTTATCATCAGTATCTGACAAACGTTCGACATGTGGTGAAGTGATGTTTTGTTGGGATGGTTGTGTAGGCGACTGTGAGGAATCTCGTGATTGATCAAAGGAAGTAACGAGTCTGATGGCGTCTATCAAATCATCATCAACCTCGGTTGGTGAAGAGGATGCCCGAGGGATAGACCCAACATCACTGCTTGACTTCTTATGGCGAGTAGGGGAAGAAATCTTAGGAGCTGGACCCGAAGGTGAACGGGGAGTTACCGGAGCAGGACTCTCAGCCAAGCGACTCGGCGTTAAGCTGATGACAGGGGGAGGAGCAAAGGGCTCGTCCCTGCCCACCTCACGTTCCTTACCCTTTGTAGACGCTTTTTTCACTGAATGCTCGTGCCTCAGTACAGGCGTGAGCATCGGAGGACTTCCTACGAGTGATTTGATATCAATCAGGGGCTTTGCGGGCATCCGAGGCCGCGAGCCAGCGGATCTGTTGGTGGATATGGATGCAGAACTTCCCGGTCTGCGTGGTGCAACGAGCGCGGACAGAGGCATGTCTTCAGAATCATTATCCGAATCTGACGAAGTATCCGAGTCATCATCCTTCGCTACCCTTGGCGACAAAGGCAATGGCAAAGATTTCTCTGAAGTCAAAAGGCATGTTAGACACAAGAATAAACTTTAATAACTTGTATGCTCGCCTGATGATGCAGCAGAAGCGTTTGCAGCAGCTAAAGTCGACGCACGACGGGCAGCAGCGTTGGGTGTGAGAGCGCTAGTGGAGACAGATGCTCTCGCTCGCACGGCAGCCATATTGTCAGGCTGCCGTAACTGTACATTGTCCGATTTTGACCATCTCGGAGGATCTGGCCGTTGAGTCTGAGCGTTTGATGTAGCAGGTACATGCCCCGCATCGGACCACGAGCGCGGACCAGGGCGAGGAGTCACAGCGCGCTTGTGACTAGGCTTGATAGGCACCCCATCACTATCCACTTCTTCATCATAATCATCCGACTCTGAAGTACTAGTGTCCAAAACGGACGAAGTCCGGTTAACGGAGATGGGTAGCGGGGGCGCACTCGAATTACGATTAAATGGTAGGTGATGTTCACTTCCGGTAGGCGTTGAAACCGTAGAAGCCCGCTGTCTCGATATATTTTCAACACGGAGGGTATCGATGGAAGAAGGCAGTCGGAATGAAGGTACAGGGGAATTTGCACGGCTACGGCGTTGTGCTTCACGAAATGCTGCAACAGATATCTTTTGAGAGGATTCTGAAGCAACACTGTCCCCGCGCGGCCGTGGCCGGGCAGGAGGAAGCGGAAGTTCGGTATCTGAAACATCGACTAGAGAAGGAGGGGACTCGGAACGAATGTGGCGGAAAGCTTTCAAATTAAAGTTATCCTTCGGTGAGGGACTTGGAGTGGGAGGAGCTGCAATAGTTGCCGGTGGCAGGGCAGGTTTCGATTTAGTACGCTCTCTAGCCCACGAGAACAACCCGCCAGATTTTTTTACATTAGGTGGCGTCGTCGTCGAAGACGGAGGTGCGCTGTGTATCTCATGCCGTGCGACGGAAGGGGTATCAAGGGGAGATTGACGGCGCGTGTTTTCATGAGGAAGCGAATGTGTGGAATTAATGCTGGGATCGTGATATATACCAAAGGACAGTTTTGGTGGGGGAGGCGAGATGTCGTGGCCTGATTCAGAGGCTACACCAGATATGTGTGCGCGTGGCGGGCTATCGTTGAGAGAAAAGACGTTTGTGGAAGTGCCTGCGACATGTGGCTGATGTGCTTGTCTCCGACGGAATGGCAACTTTAGCTTGCTCGACGATGCTGCTGCTTGACCGGCATAAGCTGCGGCCGGAAGAAACTTTAGAAACTTGTCTGGAAAGACATAATCTGGTTCTGAAGAGGTTAGGGTGCCGCTCGAGATGGACACTCTGGAAGTCGGGGTCGTTGGGACGTTTAAATTGGATGGTGCAGTGCGAGGACCAGATTGTTTATCTCGTTTAGCAAATATTCCTGGAAGCAATGGCATGAAGAGGGTCAGCAGCAGAAAAGCAGTCCGGGTGATGAATGAAAGAGAGAACAAGAAATGATGTTCGTGATGCCGGGTATGACCAGTGAACAGGGATTGTTTGACTTTATTTGCTTATTCCCCCATTTAGGATGCAAAGTAAAATTGGAACCGACTTGCGACAGCCTGCGATGCGAACTCGGACGACGAGCTACAAGGCACAAGGGGTAAGAGAACGGCAATAGGCTACATGATATTAACCGAAACCGCCTAGATTTATCGCCTTGCATACGCATTGATACAGGTTTTTGTTTCATGCAAGTACCGCGTAGGAATGAAAAAATAGAATCGACTCGGTACTCTCACAGTCACAGTTCCCAACGAATTACGGCGGCAGATCCTCCCCGGCGACCCGTCCCCGCATTCATATACAAGCCTCCCAATAGCGCTCTTGATTCGCTTTGTATAAACTTACGAAGCTCGATGCGTAGCCGCGGCAGAAGAGAACACGCGAAGTAGTCGTTTTTTGATATGACGCAACCTTGCTAGGTAATTGCATCGACACACGTTCCTTCCCATGACGGCGAACTTCCTTTCGCACCAATGGGATTGCTGTTATCTTGGCGGCGCATCTGTTTCACTTTTGTGCGAGCTTTTCATAAGCGCGATGCGGCCTCGCTGAAAGTGTATGGTAAGCCAAGTCAAAGTTGGTTGTAATAATAATACATGATGTAACTTATACGTTTGATTTCCCCATATCATAACCAGACGATCCCTTCCATATAATTACAACGCAAATGATTGTCTCTTGTCTAGTAAGTTGCCTTTAAGCAGCGACTTCGCATCTCGTCATGTATGAACCCATTAATTTCTATCCGCAAGAGACGGAACGATCAGTGATGTGCACGACATCAAACATGAGGTACTCACGTGCAGACTTAGACCATCCACACCCGTGGCGTGGCCAAGCTTCTTTCCGTCCTTGAAGACCATATAAGTAGGGACCTGTGATATTCCTCGGTTTTAATTGACTCCACAAAGGTGACATGTTAAAAATACATACAACGCGTACATCGGCTTCCATCACCACATCTTCTAGTTCATCCACATTTACGCGATAGAAATCCACGCCGATGCGAACGAATGTGTCGGAGAGCTCAGAAAACTGCTGAGAGGTGGACCGGCACAATCCGCTCCAGTCTGCATGGAAATCTATCAGTACGGTTTTACCGCTGTTTATCTGGGAGCAGTGAGCAAGGATCCATTGAATGTTTAGGTACTCACGATTCTAGTGAAGTCTTGAGCATCGTCTATGGGGTTGAAAGGCATGATGTGACTTTGGTCCAAGTGTAATGAGAATGTATGTATTTTATATAATACGGAGATGAGTGAGACAAGGGTCTGACGTGAAAACAAACAAAAGGGGGCAAAAGCAAAGTACAAAGAGTATTGTCAGAGGATATATTAGATATGTCAAGCGATGGGAATGTAGAGAACTTTATTTCAACGATGCATGACGCGCCGTGACGTCGATGCTCCTTAGCTGGTGGTTGGCCTGGCCAGGTAGTAGATCAATTTGTGATAAGATAACGAATTGGGGTGCTGAGTATTACGTTATCCGGAGGTCTGGACCTAAACCTCTCAGTAATCACAAAGGTGAGTAATGAAACGCACATCAAGATCAACTTGACACTCCTTCTGAGACCACCATCAAAGGGTATCTGATAAGTACAAGGCGACAATGAGAACCCATTGTCCACCTGCTACTCGCGGATACAATTTCAGCTCGTACAATGATTCCGATCATGAGTTCGAGACGATGTTGGGGCACCGGGATGGCAGTCTGCTTCAAAGTCAGTGACGGTTTTGATCTGTTCGATGAAATAAATGTCAACCCATACGTGTGCCTACGAGTTCTTGCCACTTGCTACTGCTCAGCAGGTTTGATAACGGCGACCGAATCCTTTGCCATGCTCACTAAGGAGTCTAAGCAGGTTTTGTAGGATATTCTACACGACTACCTAATGGATCAATCAAGCTCATGCCATATATCTCGTGGTATCATTCCGCGAAATATTCGGCATGAACTTGATTTGTCACGCTAAGGATACGACTGGGTATGGTGGACCTGTTTTCAAGTCTCGATACCGGTAATGGATCGATCGACATCGATGTTTCATGTGCAGATCACCGGCTGAATTAACGAGTAACTAGTAACTGGTGGAGGAAGTGTTTCAGGTAGGAAGAAGAAATCATCGGAAAAGTTTGCTTTGCTACATAATTGCCTTTTTAGGTTAAGTGGTGCTACGTTGAGATTGCTGTGCCATTGGACGTCGTTAACAGCGTCGACGTCGGTAGGTAACTTATATTCCGCAGCCGGGATCGCCTGCGTCGTTGGCCTCAACCATCAATTGCGACGTGTTTTGACATCGCTAGCTCCTATTAGACTATGGCACCCAACTTTTTTGCAAAGCTTGTCAAGCCTAGTACGCAAAGTTCATCTCCGAGCGGAAGAGAGAACACGACCGCTTCACCGCGCCAATCCAATATTCCATCGCGCCCGCATTCTCAGTTAATATCACACCCTCCTTCATCACTCCCCGACTCAGCCAATGACAATTCTAGTACAAAAGGGAGTGTCAAAATTGGTATAATTCCACCTTCCCCTCGTTCAGCCCGTCTTACTTTTCCTTATCTTCCTTCGCAAGACCACCCTCCTGATACATCTCAACATCGACGTGCACGCTCGCAGGACAGGATGGTTCCAGACAGACATGCTGTATCGTTCGCTGCTCGTCCCATGGCAAGCGACTCTTCTTTGTCCACAGATGACATGCTTCCCACTCCAACCCCCTCTCGTTCTCGTCCTGAAGAATGGAAAACAAGTGCTGACAGCTCACCCAAATCCTCTCGCCAGCTCACACCTGCGTCATCCACTGGGAACCTGAAAGCCTTTGTAGACAAGCGTAGCACCACTCACCCTTCAAACATTCACAAGGTGGTCGATAGAATCCCCTCAAAGAAGTCACTACGCAGTAGAACACAGCCCCCAGCTCCACTCGATTTCGATCAAAGTAATACTCGTTCCGATAGGCACCGCCGAAATAGTCGCCACGAACACAATGCCGGCATAATTGAAAATGGCCTCGTGGACTCACCCAAAAGCTCCCATCATCAACAGGAGCTTTTACCTGTCCTCACCGACGCAGACGCAAGATCCATCCGCTCCGTAAACAGCTCAACCTCGAAGACAACAGGTTGGCGTCGTCCTTCACTCACTACTCCCACTCGCAAACAACCCGGCGTTGCTTCTTCTATGGCCGCTTCCATGACAAATACTGGCTCCCAAATGTCCCCTGTTATTCCAGTTTCCAATTCGGCATCAAAAAAAGTTACCAATGGAACAGTTAGGTCAAATGCCTCTGCTCGTTCTGCAGTGGGGCATACTGCTTCCGCTTCCGTGACGTCTGTACCTAATTCTACCGATGCCAACGCTCGCACAAGACGTGCCTTGTCTGGTCGAGATGACTTTTCAGACGGTCAGCCAGACACGTTGACTTCTAGCGGAGAGAGCGAGGCGTCGGACGACGAACTTGATATTAATGAAGACATTCCCGTCACGGGTTTTGCCGTTGCAAGCAGCAAGCGTAATGCAGACTTCCACGAGTTGTTCCCTAGTATCCCCGAAGGCGATTATCTTATTGAAGGTTTGTCACATTTGGACAATGTCAAATATCTGCTTCATATCTTGTAGATTACGGGTGCGCATTACAGCGTGAGATCCTAATCCAAGGCCGGATATACATTTCAGAGAACCACATATGTTTCCATGCGAACATTTTCGGGTGGATCACTGACGTACGTTGCACACGCTTATACATACTGGCAAACTAAATGATACCCCACAGCTGTCAATCCCAATATACGAAATAACCGCTCTCGAGAAGAAGATGACGGCATTCGTCATTCCCAACGCCATTCAAATAACTACCCGACAGGCAAAATACACCTTCGCCTCATTCCTCTCCCGCGATACGACGTATGACGTCATTGCCAACATCTGGCGACTTGCCCGTCCTGATGATACTCTAAGCCAAACCGGCTCGTCCGCCAATATCATTACGCCCGCGAGCACTTCTGATGTTTCAGGTCCCCTGATCACGAACGGAGGCAAAGAAGCAGCTCCTGTGACTAGCATTAACAAAGTCACGCACTGCGCATGCTCGAAAAATGGACAGCATCTTAATGAGATCGCGCTGGAAACTGTGTTGCCTGGAACACCGGACAAGATTTATAACCTGATGTTTGCGAGTGGGTTTATCAAAGATTTTATGCGGGTGGATCAGAAGCTCATGGGTGGGTGGCGTCTCGCTCGACTGACTCAGTACTGATGCTCCCCATTCAGATGTGCAGATATCAGATTGGTCTCCCATAGGCGACAACTCGAAGCTTTTGGCACGGAATATGTCGTATATCAAGCCTTTGAACAATAGCGTAGGCCCGAAGCAAACAAAGTGCGAGATCCACGATGAAACCATGACCTACGACTTTGATGACCACGTCGTGATGTTGACGACGACGAAGACGCCCGATGTTCCTAGCGGAGGTGTGTTCTCCGTCAAGACGAAGACATGCTTGATGTGGGCAAGCGCTATTTCCACACGGGTGGTCGTCACCACGCAGGTAGATTGGACTGGGAGAAGTTTCATCAAAGGTCTGCTATTCTTCCCTCCTACAAAATTCTATGCTCATGCTCGCGATACGCAAAGGTCTGATCGAAAAATCAGCAATTGACGGTCAAAAAGTATACCACTCCGACCTCGACAAAGCCATGCGGATGTACATCCAAGAACACCAATCTGAATTCATCCCAGCAGGCGTTGATCCAACAGCCGTAGCACCCGTCGAGCCTATCAGCCCTGTCATCGAACACAACGACCTCAATCTCTTAAGTCGCTCCATGGGCATATCAGACGCAGAAGCCCGTAAAGCGCGTGAACACGAACGTAACAGACGTGGGCTCCAATGGGCGTATGAGACGTTTGACGGTGCCTATGGCGTTGCGAAGCGCTCTACGTTTGGAGCGCTGGAACTTGTCAAGGAAGCTTGGGAACAGAGCTCGTCGATGACGATTTTATATTTCGTCATCGTCATTCTTGTGTTCAGTAACCTGTGGACGTTGATGCTTGTGGGGCAAAGGGAGGAGGCAGGGAGGAGGAAGGAGGCGAAGAGGACTGAGGAGAGGGAGAAGTGGGTGCAGGATGTTGTCACTGGGCTTTGGGAGGAGATGGCTGTTGGGAGGGCGAGGGGTGGTATCGGGTCTTCTGGAATTTTTGGAGTTGGTGGTGGTGGTGGTGGGTCGGTGCATTCGGGTCATGTGAATGGTGATTTGAGGTTGGAGTTGGATGCTATCAATATGACGTTGAATGATGTCGAGGAACGGGTAAGACTCTTACGGGAGAGTCTGGATGCCCTAAATTGACTTATTGGAGGACTATACTCCTATGCCGCACATACTACACTTATTATTATCTTAGGCACTGGCTAAATTTTGAATCGCTAACCGTGGTCAATGTCCATTGACTCACAGAGTTCATTGATCGACTTGTCTCTTGAGGACGGCGCGGGCCACAGCACCACATTGAAACTTGCCGCCGAAAAACATTTTTCACTTTGGCAGCTCTGGCCTTATATAAGCAAACATGTCTGGGTATTTGCTGCAAAATTCTTGGCTTTTCGTGCTGATGTTACTTCTCTTATCCATGTCAACGATTCGAGTCCTGATTCGTCCGTATCATTGTCTTTCCGCATAGCTGCATTAAATGTGCCGTGTTCTGTCATACCAATCATAATGGGGTAGTTGACGAGTCGACTTTTGGTCCGGCGCGCGTGCCGAACGTCGATGGTTGGTTATCTTGACAAACCTTTTACCTAAGTCACAGTACTAGTGGCACTAGTGATAAAAGATTGATGCTAACTTGCGAGGCGTATCCAGATCACGCAAGCAACTAAACGGGAGTGAGTGCAAATGGTGTCATCTACGCTTATAATCAGGAACTTCCAAGTCGCATGACGGGTCCTTGCGTGCTAAGCTAATTCGATAGTCTCCCGGTATCAGCGGCGAAGCGTTTCAGACAGGGATCGTTCGGTACCTACATACATCACCTGCAAGATGGAGAAATCCGCGGCGTTCGTGAGAGGTTACAAGTGCGTAATGATGATTTTTCTTGCTATCCACCAAGGGCAAGACAATTCCGACATCGGAAACAACTACGTATCTACTTCTGATTTCCGGGGATTCTAACTCGAATATAGGCTGATGCGGAGTTCATACGTAAGTATTATGAAGAATTCTTTCCTTGCAAAATGATGTACAGAGACTGATCGTTAAGAACATCTACCGACTTCGACGAGACCTGGACATCGCTCCTGGCATCTAAGAGAGGGTCCGTGTTCGAACCGAGTTTAAAACATGTCTGAAACTGCTCGGATATGGTATAGTCAGGTCAGGCATCCGTAATGACTGTTTTAAGTACTCCGGTATACGTTTGGCGTTCGTAATACTAATATCTGACTGTTTGAAGCACTCCGGTATACATTTTAATAATTTATTGTAGGTAGAATCACGAAATTTGTGGGAATCTAACACAAAAACTACGAACTATGCTAAAACTGCGAACTATAGTCCAAATTCTACGTTTCAATAGTCAAGTCGAAATCGGAAAGAATGGCAGTAGACCCCTGTTGCGACCTCCCACAAACAATCAGATGGTCTTTCCATCTATCAAGACTTGCCTTCTCCTCCTCACTGAGAGAATTTAAAAAAAAATTAATGCTATCGAATATCGTCTTGTTCTCAGTCGGCGAGAACTTCTGCTTCGTGAATATTAGTTGGCCTTGTTCCAATAATGCATGCTCCGTTATTGAACATGCAAGGCAGTACGCATGATGCAGTGCCTCACGAGGTGATTGGTGGTTGCCGAGTAGCATGTGAAGTCCGTGATTCGATAGCCAGATGAGTTTGATGAGCAGGGTGAATATGAATTTATTCTGGCATTTGTTGTGAATGATCACCGTCCTGTCCTAAGCCTTAGTTAGATCTTGATTTCGAAACAAAAAATAAACATACTTGAGAAAATGAATGTTTGTGCATATAGGCCTTGTCTCGCACAAGACTAGCTACTCGATTGACACGAAATTGATCTGGCGGGATGTTGGAATCGTGTTCGGGGAGCAGGTCGTATGCCATCACCACGTTTTGTCGCGCAATCATCATCATCGTCGAACGCACTAGGACCACTCCCCGCCAAATCGTCGGCACATCTTTCGGCGTCGATGGCCATCAATTTAGCCCTACTATTCATTCAGTATAAGCTAAAAGAGTCTTCATTGAACTTACCGCGAAGGCTCGGAATGGAAGGCGCTGATGCTTTGATCATATCCCTGACAAGGCGACTCTGGTCCTCAGATTTTGATGTGATTGCATCAGGCGTGAAGATGGTGCCCTTGATAAGGTCTCGCGAGCGGCTGTAGACTTGCTCGTGGTCCGCTGCACTGACCTTGACCTGGATGACAACGTCACTCGATGTTGTAGCCGAGGACGGGCCAGGATTTGGAGTGCACGTTGGGGATGGAGGCGGGCTGGGATTTGGGGTACGCATTGGGCATGGGGGCGCCGAATAAGGCGCCAACGACGGTGTTGAAGGCATACGTCGGGAGCATCGGCGTCTTTCGATAGAGCGCACCGGACCCAAAGTCTGTTATCATTAAAACGTGTAGTAAGATATATAACATTAAGTACTCACATGTATCACGTTGGATACCGGTATTTCGTCCAGTATGGGATTGTGTGTCAGTGCGCGTGCGGCGTCGGCATCACTGCCCAACCAATGAGGTATGGGCCTGATAAGGTGGGAGCTCGGTGCTGAACATGGTGTGTTTGTTAGAAAATGATTTATGATGAAAAGAAAAAATACGTACGTGACGCGAGTGATGGAACATTGTAGTTGATGTTTGAGGGACCAGCCCTTGGGGATTGAGCGCCAGACAAGGACTGGGAGGAGGACTGGGCGCTATAGCCGGCAGCAGAGAGAGAGTTGGTGTGATTGGCACTAGAGAGAGAGTTGGTGTAGCCGGCGCTAGAGAGAGAGTTGGTGTACCCGGCGCTAGAGAGAGAGTTGGTGTACCCGGCGCTAGAGAGAGAGTTGGTGTACCCGGCGCTAGAGAGAGAGTTGGTGTACCCGGCGCTAGAGAGAGAGTTGGTGTAGCCGGCGCTAGAGAGAGAGTTGGTGTAGCCGGCGCTAGAGAGAGAGTTGGTGTAGCCGGCGCTAGAGAGAGAGTTGGTGTACCCGGCGCTAGAGAGAGAGTTGGTGTAGCCGGCGCTAGAGAGAGAGTTGGTGTACCCGGCGCTAGAGAGAGAGTTGGTGTACCCGGCGCTAGAGAGAGAGTTGGTGTACCCGGCGTTAGAGAGCGAGTTAGTGTACCCGGCGCCTAAGAGCGAGTTGGTGTACCCGGCACCTGAGCTACTATCTCCAGGATTTGAGTAGCCGGGACTTGGCCTATTGTTATTTTGAGTCTGAGTCCACAACAAAAGAGATGGGAAGACTCACTGATTATATGTACCAAAGGTGTGCTGTCGCTGATGTGGATCGAAGTTAGACATTTCCGGAGGCCGCGGTTGTTCGTCGGGAATATTGATCTGCGTGTCCGCAGGCGCGTGGGAAGGGTTGAGACCAGATCCTCAAGGAGGTTTTGGAATTGTGGTTTTACCTTTGCGCGGCGCACAACGTTGGGTACTCATCAAGGTAGAATCACTTGGGGGAGGGCAAAGGGCATATCAATTACAATTCTAATACAAACGGAGATACGCGAATGCAAACAAACTATACAGCTTGTGACTTGATGTACTTGTGACTGTGAGGTTAAAGAAGTGGGGAAAGAAGGGGCGAGGAGGTAAAAAACGGTGTGCATATGACAAACTAACACGGTCTGGAAGAAGGCTATGATGAAAGGGTGTTGCATGTATTACAACATTCCTTATCAATCAATCAGTGTGGAGTAATAATCAGACACATGAATCGACTTACCACGATAAGAAGTCACATTGCGGTGGCCACGCAAGACGCTTTGGGATGAATTCCAAGGTTATCAGGGGTTCCCAGATATATAGGGTTGTCGTCGTCATCAGGAACCCCGCTGGCAGTGGGGGATCCGGAACCATCGGCCCCAGATTCTACAGATGCCTTATCGACACTGTCATCACCAACAAACCCAGGTTGCAACGAAGACGATCTGGATGCTCCAACCCCATGTTGGAAAGCCTTGCCGACACGTGAGCCTAAGACCTTTGCCACATACTCAGCTTGGGATGCGACAATCTTAAGAATTTTGCATTCATCTTCATAGACCGCTTGAAGATAGTCTCGGTCATCATCGGCATCTACGCAGTCACGCTCAGAAAAGAGGTTCCTAAAGGCGTGTAACTGGTCGTCTGTGAGTTTGAGCCGGTCTTCATTGTCAGCATGTATGGCATTGAGGAATATGATGAAGCGTTCAGTTTCCTCGATTTCCCACGCAGTCGCCAGCATGTGCTGACGCGCAGTCTCACGAGCTGCAAGCTGTGCCTGGTATCCTTTGTACAGAGTTGAAGGATGCATTTGCGCAAGGCCATTCTCTAAGTATCCAGCATGCTTTATAAAATATAAATGAGTTGTTTGGATGGAACTGGATAGAATAATAATACCTTGAGAAGAGATTCGCTGGATACATAAGGTCTGCGTTCCCGCCCCATAAGACGTGCTGCAAAACGAACCTTGAGTGGAGCTGGGTCCAGGGGGTATGGTACAAACTTCCTGCTCATTCTGTCACGTATAAACTGATGTCGAGCACTGCGAGAAAGATCTGGAGATGCGGGTGGATTATAAAATAAGCTGTTTGATCCCTCAGTAGCAGAAGCCGGAGTCATGGGCGGAGGTGTCTTCTCCGCTGAGGAGATACCTTTGAGGGAAGCACATAGGTCAGAATGTCTGGTATCAGGAGAACTCTCTGAGAGATGGAAAGAATCAAAAAGAGGCGACCCAGGAGCTGAAGAAGATCCCGATAGAGGAGAGGATGGGGGACTGCTTGATGGAGGGAGGCAGTTGCCGGGACTGCTGGGTCGAGTCGGAGATGAAGGTGGAAGTGAGGGTGACATGAACAAATATCAATGTCGGCAAGACAGTGTCTCTCTAGCCTTCAATGCAGGCTGATAATAGTACAGCGAATACACCAATACCCTGTGAATACACTGGCAATGTCAGCAAGCAACACAGCGGAGTTTGAAAGACTAGACTCCAACGCTGACCCATTGCCCAAGTAAATGTGCGTATTATCCATTAAGTTGCTTTGACTATAGCTTTAGTATGCATACCTTTACCAGGTTGTGTCCCAATTGCAATAGGGAGTTCCCTTCGATCGAAGCAGTCGTTCTGCATCTCAATTCACAGTCTACCTGCTGGCCGCACGAAGCACGTTCACAACAATCAGCCGTTCCCCCTGGGTTGCGAGGTCCGCCATCTAATACCACTGGCCATTGTCATCCTTGCTCTGGATACGTCTTTGGTATCGGTAAAAACCTATATGACAGGTTGCAGGACGATCAATATAATTATTGGCGGGAGATAAACACTTATTATCCTTTCCATGACGAGGGGGAGTGGGAATTAGCTAGTTTCTTGATTCAAAACCTGAATCAGACTCAAATTGACAAGTTCTTGAAGTTGAAATGGGTAGGAGACTCTAAGCACTATTTGACAAGTCTGACTCTTTCACAGTTTAGCACTCGCCCAAAACCATCTTTCACCTCAAAAGATCAACTTCTAGATTGGATGGACGCACTACCCTGTCTTGCAGAGTGGAAAGTTTCAAAACTAGAGTTTACAGGCTACAAGACTGTCCATCCCATTCAGCTCATTTGGCGCGATGCTCTAGAAGTCGTCAAACAACTTTTCAGTGACCCAGTTTTCACCAATAATATTACCTTTCAGCCCCACGTAGTTCATGTTGGGAATCAGCGCAAGTATGGAGATTATATGAGTGCTGATTTAGCATGGAAAATTCAGGTAAGTTTGCCCTGCTTAGTCGACTACTCAAAGATTGATTCCGTGTAGGACTGTCTCCCATTAGGTGCTACACAAGTACCGATCATTTTAGGGTCCGACAAAACTCCCATGACGAGGACCACCGGGGGACTCGAGATGCACCCCATCTTCATCACCATCGGTAACCTTGATTCAGAAGTTCGCTCCAAGGCCACACTCCGAGCTTGGCGCTGTATTGCTTACATGCCCGTCGCTAAGTTTCGCGTGCATCCCGATTATCAAACCATTCTTCAGGCGCGGCTGTGGCATAAGTGCGTTGACCTTGTCTGCGCCAACCTTAAACAGGCAGCCAAGACAGGCTGCTTTATGCCTGATCCTTCCAGATTTATTCGTTATGTCTATACGCCACTCGTCACTCACGTATGTGACCTGCCAGAGGCTTGCATGATCGCTGCGGTTAGTAAAAGTGCATCTCCTTTAACAATGGCATCACAAGAAAATTTTGGTGATGGGGTTCTCTACCCTCCTCGTACTGGGCAACACATGCTACAACTTATCTGTGAGATCTCCCAAACAATCGATGTTTGGGATCTCGACAAATTCCAGAAGGCAGCCAAAGCTGTCCATCTATCTGGAGTCCACATGCCATATTGGCGTGACTGGATCTACGCATGTCCGTCTGTCTTTCTCGCTGGCGAGATCTTGCACACCTGCATCAAATTTTTTGCTGACCATCCGCTCACCTGGATCAAGGAGGTAGTAGGAAAATCCGAACTCGATGCTCGCTACATGAATCAGCATAAGCAGGTGGGAACATGCCACTTCACCAAAGGTATCACGCACGTCAACCAGATGACAGGTCGTGAGCATCGAGATATTCAATGCACCATTGTTGCTTCGATTGCAGGTGTTGCTCCACCTAACTTCATTCACGCAATCCGTGCCCTCATTGACTTCATTTATCTTGCCCAAAATCCGATTCATTCTGCAGAAACCTTGTCGTCAATGATGCAGTCCCTTTCAGACTTTCATACATTCAAGCACGCTGTCATCGAGGCCCAGGCTCGGAGGGGGAAGAAAGGTGTTAAGGAAGATTTCTTCATTCCTAAACTCGAGTTGCTCCAAAGCTTCAGAGGCACAGTCGAGAGACTGGGCACTTTGATGCAGTTTTCGGCGGATATGACGGAGCGCTTGCTCATTACTCACTGCAAGGATCTCTTTGTACGAACAAATCGACGAGTCAACGACTTCGTGGAACAGTCTGTACGGATTCTCAACCGCCAGGAGTCAATAGAGCTGTTTAATTTGTACGCACTGTTCCGTTCTCATCATGCATCACTTGTCAATGTGATATGCACTGAGGATGAGGCAGTGACAACCGTCAATCCAGCGCTCTCCTGGGTTTCTCGTGTTCTCCCTGATGAATCGCACTCTGTTCACAGACCTCGGCCAGTTCGTAACCATTTCCTCAAGGGCATTCTTTCCGGAGATGCACTCACTGCCTTCCATCTGACGTCGACACCAGATTTCAAATCTTTGTCGCCCACCAACATTCATACCATATATTCGCTCATTGATTTTGATCATGCACTCTCTCAGTTCATCAAATGTTTTTCTCTCTCCACCGGCGAGCATACCCGCTGGGACCACAAATATGGACGCTTTCATGCATGGAAAAAATTTCGATTACAGCTTCATTCGGCCTTCCGGCCACGGCTGATCATGCCCAGCAGAGTGATCCAGGTGTATCCACCAGATAGCAGATTCCCCCTCGGAAACTGTGATAATGTCCTCGTCGACGTCACAGGCGACGATGGCCAGATCAGTATGTCATTTTTGTTTTTATGTTCCAGCACTAACGAGATTATGTTCAGTAAGTTGTATCGCACAAGTTCGACTTATTTTTCAACCGACTCTTCCACGTGCTTCTGACCTAGTTTTGCCATCATATCTATCCCATCCGCTGCTCTATATTCAGTACTACAACTTTGTCACCAGTCCCAATGACCGGCCTGAACTCGCGATGTGGACAGTAGAACGCTCATATGTGGAAGACCAACACGGCAAACACAGATGTGGTGGTGTGGTTCCATTGACAAGTGTAACACACACTGTCGAGTTGATCCCAGAATATGGCCAAAAGGTGGACGAAAAGATTTCTTCAGCCATTTGTTTGGAAAGTTATGACCGCTTTTTTCTGAACAATTTCGCGGATAAGGACAGTTATCACACATTGAGTACGGAGTTCGCATAGTATCAGTAGCTCACAATAGCAGCACATATAGTTTTGAATTCGTGCATTAATCTCTGCGAAGCTTTATGAGCGTCACTAGCAGCTAATTATGAGTGGCCCAAGTCTAGGGTTTGTGAATAGCACAAACCCTAGACTAGTAGTTCAGCATCGAGATATTTACAGTGTAACTACAGAAAAATCTGTTCCACCAATCACGTTGCTCCGATCACCAGGTCGTAAGCTCACCGTAAGCATCAAACTTCTTTTTGACAAGCGAAATTTCAAGGCCTTTTGCTGATGTGTCACTTTACAGCTACCTTCAAATCAATAGGCCAAAATCCATTTTTGTTCATTCACCGCTTTTGTTTAGTTGTGGAGCTGGCCAAACAAAAGGATCCTACCCTAGGCTGCCTAAGTATTACGATATTTCGTCGGGGCGAGATGCCATGATTATTATGCTGGCCCGGATGCGGTCGGACGGTCGGATGAGGTCGGACGGTCGGATATCCCAGGATCGAGATGTCCTCGATTAGAAGGTAGCTGTAACTAAATACCAAAATCACCTCAAAGTGAAGTCCTCCGAGTCATCATGGAAATTTCGAGCAAGCGCCATCTCTAAACATCAATCTTCTAGCACAGTCTTGTGGGCGTATATTTGATCAATTAGGTAAAACAGTAATATCTACTTGCTAATATGATCCGACCTCGAATGCTGCACTACAGATTGTGGTGTTCTTACGCAGACACACTTCGTAAGAAATTTCAAAACCCTGGCTATATTTGACAATTTCTGGGCAATATAACGGGCACTCACGCCATGGCCGTACGGGCATAAAAGTAACCATTGAAAGGTTGATCGTTCTTCATGAACATGGCATCACTTCTCAAAGTTCCATTTATTCTCTCGTCTGCTATCGCACAACAGGTAGCGTTTACGCCTCCAAACATCCCCTCGGGTGGAGAGACTATTCCACAAACGTTCAATGAGCGGGTGCTCACCCGGCTTATAGCATATGGGTTTCCGACCATGAAAGTGAGTGTTGTTACTGCTGGTCCACAACCATTCTTATAGAACGATACGCTAGGTACTTTACTGGGTTGTTTCTTTCGCAGAGGTCGTTATCATTGCCTCTCAGACAGCAAATTCTTTGTCCGTTATACAAGCCATTGCACAACACGCGGTCGGTCACGGGATTCATGACACGCCCATCACTTTCCCTTTCGTCTTGGGCACCACACTTACTGTCGCAGGGGGTCTCTGCCGTTGGTGGTGTTATCGCACCCTCGGTCGCTTTTTCACATTCGAACTCAGTGTTCGCAAAGGGCATCATATTGTCACGACCGGACCATACGCTGTCATACGCCATCCAGCATACACAGCAGGTATCACGCAGCTGATCGGGATGATAATGCTACACGGATCGCCCACTTCGTGGCTTAGACACTCCGGAGTTCTAGATATTCCTGGACTCAAATTGGCTGTGATGTCATGGCTTGTGGGGGTGACCCTTCTTGCGATAGGCTCCGTGTTCAGGGTCAGCGAAGAAGATAAAGCACTGAAAATGGCTTTCGGAGACGAGTGGGCGAAGTGGGCGAAGGCGGTCAAGTACCGACTGATACCTGGCATCTACTGACACATTGCACTTGGTGTTCTGTGATGGTTACAACTGTTCAAATATTCACCGGCACCGTCCAATCTTAGACCATTGCTCCCTTCCATCCGAGATTAGAAGAGATTTATCTGCTGATTTCATTCTACGATAACGCTCGGTTTCTTTTTTGGTTAACGGGGGTGAGATCTTGAGACGTGCAATACATTTTGTAGTCTTTTTTTGTTTTTCGATGTCGGCTTTCTATTTAATCGCGTCTGTTGTCATTCCAGGCTAACCTAAGGTCGGCAATACGTCACGAGTTTACGATATACGAAGTAATTGAAATCGACAGCGGTGAATAGCGAATATTCCGACTTTCTTTTTTTAGTTTTTTCCTAGAACCATCGTCATGAAAGAAAGTTGGGGTCAACCAACCATACATGCATAATCATTTGGCCATATGTTGCAAGCGGAAGACCCTGTCATTGCAGGATGAGTTATTTGAAATGTTTGCATGTTGAGATGACTGCAACTGTTAGGCACGTCGACGCTGGAACAGTCATTGGCCTTGGCCTGGGCACTCTCACCTCCCTTGCGCATAATCCCGGATTTGCCCCACCTTTCGTCATCGGCTCCGAGTATTGCTCAAAGTCGCGGGAAAACGTCGAATACGGAATCATCACACGATGCTGCGTTTGCCTCAACTCCAAACACGGAGAAACACGTCAGCTTAGTGACCGACAAGAGGGTCCGGAGGAGTTCGTGGCGATTCTGCATAGGTGAAGAGAGGCTTTGAGTCATCTCTTGCCGTAGGCACAAAGTCACGCTGTCGGAACCCTATAGGAAGTGGATATTTCAGATGGGCCCAGACGCGGCATGGCGCAAGTAATGATACCTGGAAGAAGAGTTCCGCGTCCTTCAAATGACGTTTGGCAGGGATCTGCGAGATATAGTCAAGACTCAAGACCTTCCAGCTCGGGAAGGCCAGCATGGGGAATTCCCAGAAAGTTCCACGGCCGTGGCAGACTAGTTATTTCTGTGAATCAGTGTCAGTGGTATGCCGTTCAAGTCTTTGTAATACCCTGCTCACCATCATGTCCGTCAAACCGATCACATCTCATAGCCAGTTCATTTCCATTGTAGGCACTTTATAGTCAGTGGCATAGCACAAGCACATTTAACACCACAGATAATGGAAGAGGGAAAGACTGTCATCGTAGATTTCGTATCCGAAAGGTGTCCCCATTGTAAAGCCATCGCCCCCACCTTTGATGAGCTCGCAAACAAGTTCTCGTCGGACAAAATCGAATTTTACGTTATTGACGCCGAAAAAGTCGACGATGTCAGCTTCGAAGTTGGTGGCATAACGAGCGTAAATATCTGCACACATCCATCGTCGTACGCCGATCACTAATCTGTATGGCTTCTCAGTATCCTACATTCATCGCATTTAAGGACGGTAATAAGATGGAGGAATCCACGTTTGGTGCTGCTCGCGAGAGGCTGCAGGTACGTTTGTAGTCTTTCAGCATTCGAATGGAAATTCATTCTTGCCCACCATCCCAGAAATTTGTGGAGAAATACTGTTCATCTTGACGCTACATATTTTTTTCGGCGGAACAGGACAGTTCTGACAGTTCGGGAAACGACTTTCTTTGATTGGTCAGACACGTTGATGACTTTATTATGTCTTACCTCCGTGTCTACGATTCTACGACCTCTATGGAGTTTGTAGATTGTACCTGTAGGGAGTCCTCTAGGGTGCCAAAGACCGATTCTGCGGAAGTTCGATGGGACGTGGAATCGCGCCTGTAAGCTAGTAGGTCTTTCTCAAACTATCACGTGGAATCTTCTCCTCGCACTTTCAACCTGTGTAGTATGGATGTTGCGGGGAACTTACATGACTACCATATCCAGCTTTCGCACTCCTTCGAGCAACTTGCGAACAACGAGAACTTCGGGCTTCACATCCTGCATTTGGTTAGAACTTACCTATTTTCTTAGGAACGACTGTTTTCTTCTGTAGGTCTTACCAGGAGACTGCCAATTCTGTTTGAGCTCAGTTGGGAAACGGAATTTATCCTTGTAAGCAATGATAATGGAAACACTTCCAGTAAGCACTTGAATGCAGGTTCATCTTCGATTTTTCTATCTGGCATGCTGATTCACAAATTTGGCTAATCTAGGGTGTTCAAATGACAAAGTCGGACCTAGTGAGTTCCAGGTGGAGTCGGGGAATCATGTCCATGTACCTCAGCGTGCGCGCAAGCGGACCATCGAGCGTAATAATCGCGCGAAACTAGTACCATTCCTTTCCATCATACATCTTGAAACCGTTTTAGCAAAGGAAACTGAGATTATCCGCTGCGTAGAGTCGGGACCCTGGTCTGGCTTGGGCCTGGTGCATGTACCGATGATAGGATGTAGGACTGATGACACAACAACATACTCTCAGGCTCCATCCCGCACCCTGTTTCACTGACGCCCGCTTTCACAGTATGATACCGCCGCCGTTGGAGGAAGTCAAGCCCTCGACTGCACCCTGAGCGAGGTATGTATAAAAGCAGTCATTGAAAGGCTCGAGCTTCATAATCATGGAGTCCCTTCTCAAAGTTCCACTGATTCTCTCGTCCGCTATCGCGCTGCACGTATCGTTCACGACCGGAAATCTTCCTTCAAGTAAAGAGGTTGTTCGTCAAACGTTCAACGAGTGGATCTTCACTCTGCTTGTTAAATACGGGTTTCCGACCATAAAGGTAATTCATGTCGCCTGCCCACGAACATTTCATAGAACCATGCACCAGGCATTTTACTGGGTTGTTTCCTTCGCAGAAATCGCTACTATCGCCTATCATACAACAGACCCCAACTCTGTTTCCGCGATACAGGACACACCCATTACTTTCCTTTTTGTTTTCGGCACTGCACTCGCTATCACGGGGGGTCTCATCCGCTGGTGGTGTTATCGCACCCTCGGTCGTTTTTTTCACTTTCCAACTCAGTGTCCGTGAAGGGCAACACGTTATAACGACCGGGCCATATGCGGTCATACGCCATCCAGCCTATACGGCAGGCCTGGCAGAGATCATAGGCCTATTGATCCTACACGGATCGGCCAATTCATGGCTTAGATACTCAGGCGTTTTGGATATCCCTGGACTGAAAGTGATCGTGGTAGCATGGCTGGCGGAGATCGCTCTTCTTACGATAAGCGTCGTGTTCAGGGTCAGTCAGGAGGATGAAATCCTGAAATCAGGTTTCAGAGATGAGTGGGAGGCGTGGGCAAAGGCAGTAAGGTACCGGCTGATACCTGGTGTTTACTAAACCCAAAGCGCACGGATCATGCTATCATTGTGCGGCGAGAACCGTCTACAACTCTCCCCTATCAAAGGGAACGTCAATATTCCTTCGTCTATGAAGGGCTGTCTATGGGAGCCCAGCTCTACAGTTACATGGCAGGTTAATCTTTTTTGAAACAAACATTTTGTTGTCTTCACAGATGATCTTTTCTCGGCTTGTACTAAATATTGTGCTTTGTTTTTTTGTAGGGCAAGATATGTTCTCCGTACGCACTTCATTCTATGAGTACAACCACTCCTTGTACGATCTTCCTTCTCCTTCGTGGCAGCGTCCTTTTGTTTGGGATCACTTCCCTTTGCCCTTCAATCGAAGACTGTGTCTTTCTCTTTCCTAGTCCGAGCCTTCTCGTTCGCAACACTTCGTTAACTCCCTTGCCCCAAAGTGAACGAGCTTCATAATATGAAATACTGAACAAATGTGATCAATAGTATGCAGACTGGCTACGCGCTGCCGTACTATTGATCGTTTTGAGCTTAGTTCCCGAGTCACAGAACTTCAATGTGTCAATACTCAGGTGTTGTCCATCCTTTCAGCGTAGTTCATCCCGGAGGACCAAATAGTGCTCCTGTGAGTGGATAGCTTCATTGATACTGTCACTTTGACCTGCTTTGTCGCTGTTCGTCATCTATTTTTTCCAATATAATGATAATATCATAGATTACTGTGAATCAAGTGTGCGAATTTACATGCGAGTGCCATGGCATTGAGCTCTGTCAGTCTGTCCGATACACAACCAAGCTGAGAGAAATATTCTCGAGTACAGGTGACCAGTCGAGGAACCAGGACGCATTGCTAGATGGCTAAAGGATATTGCAGTGCTTCCATACCACCGGCTCCCATCGGTATCACCCTGTGGTTCATCATGCTCAGGCTGTGGTCATTGGTGAGAGTATCAACGGCAAAATGCTTACATTCGTAGATATAATAGCAACCTGCATGACGCTCAGTATGAGATAGCTGAAAATAACGAAGAATGTTTCATATGCAATTTACCTGAAGCGGAGGCTGCGACGTCGAGTTTGGTTGTGCCGCAGGTGGAATTGCCGCTGAGGACGGCTGACCGGTTGGCTTTCACAAGAGACGCGTACTACGTAGGCCTTCTGGAGATTCGGTTATGCATAGTATGGCGGAATGAAAAGCACCTCATACACCACTTACCTGTTGTTGTTCTCTTCCAGCAGAGACTGTTGCGGGCCTACCGGTGGTGGCGCCAGGGCCACGCCGCAAGAGGTGCAAAAGAATAGCAAGGGGCGTGGTATTAATAGATGGTAGAGAGGTTGGATCTCTTGGACCACTTTTCCGTGACATGGAAAGTGGGTCTCTTATACCCTTTATGAGTACCGAAAAGTGATGCCTGAGGTGCGGATATCCTTACCAAGGCTCTCGCTCGCGGCCACTGTTCCTCGCAAGCTTGCGCCTGGTGTATCGCTGAGGGGGTTGACGTTAGACATCGTATTACCTTCTTGTTCTTATCACCACATGCAGCGGACAACTTCTTCATACGAGCTTTCCGCTAAACTCTTCGCCGGTTCATTACCTAAGCTCACTTTATCTTTCGTATATAGCTCGTACTGGCTCAGAATTCTTCTATGCATACTGAGGCTCACTCGTATCGCACTCATGCTCTTACGTGACAACCAGGGCATGGGAGTGGGACCTGTCGGACTCTAGTGTTGCCGCAGCTGCAGCTCGACTTGATAAGCCACAGCTTGTCCCATAAATGGGAGATGTTACCCTCTCGTCATCCCATTGTTGTAGCGTACATACGTTAGAACAATGGGATGACGAATGCACCGTCACATGCGCTGTCGCGTCAGCCAAGTGCTATCGAGCGCCCCCTCTGCCACCCGAGTTTCGTTAACGCCATGAGAAAGAAGGTTCCGCCGCCCCCTCCTATCCCCAATGTCCACTGGTCCGAGAATATGACATGGACCTTGCTGTCAGAGGTCGAGAAAGACGAGAATAGGCTTGTTTTGCTCGGGAAGCCGGACAAGAAGGAGGCAAGTACTATCCAGCTCCAGATCCACGATCATTTTATAACCATGCCATAGAATACACATGGTTATAGTAAGATTACCGTGTTTCAACGTATTGAATCTGTCATGCTGCGAGACAGCTATAAGCTCAACAACCAGAGTCAGACTGGTCGATCTGGAGTGATTTCGCAGGCGAAGCAAGGAGTTTGAAATTTGTGGCTCCTGTTGGAACAATCTTACAGTCAATCTCACCTGCTTGCATTGTCGTTCAACATGTGAGAATCAATTCGAATATCGTATTTAACGTGTCGCGGCCTTGGCCCAGTGCAAAGCTTCACTGTGAATACAAATACGAATGATAATGCTCTCGAGACTTGGACCACCGCCGACCTGAGTCTCCAATAGGAATGAAGACAACATAGAGGGGCTGACAAATTGCATTCGGGAACTCATCTGTGCCGTCGATTCTCAGCTGCCAGTGGGCCAGTTAGGAAAGACTGTAGGCCATTCGATAGAGGGAGCTCTCCGAATAGATTTGTACACTCGAAGTGTCATATCTTCATTATGACATTTTGACGGGAGTGTCAACGCTGTCAGAAGAAATATCAGCAACGTGTCCCTGCAGAAAATGCAGAACCATTGCACAACGACAATCGTTCCTGAGAGTAAGGTGTAACAGATGAGCTCTGTAGGAAACGACGGGAACCGAATCGAGAAGAGATGGACGACGGATTTGAGACTGAAATTCAACATTATACAGAATCTACAAGTCATGGCTGTCTCGACATCGACAAATGACTATGTGCGATCGGTCGCGAAGGCACATGTCCTCGATCAACATAAACGTGCTGATGAAGAAATGTCGACAAACCCACGCTGGAGTAACGAGGGACCGGGCTGAGTAGCAGAGGCAGAGAGAGGGTGGTGGAGTGGGATGCACCTGAGTGGGATGCAAAAGTTGTAATAACCACAGTTTTCTTCTTGAGCAGATTGTTGTGTCATTGTCTATGCCTGAGCCGGAGGCTGTGACGTCGAGTTTGGTTGTGTCGCAGGTGGGATTGCTGAGGACGACTGACCGGCCTAAGTGTTGGCTTTCACAAGGGACGCGCATTACGTAGACCTTCTGGAGATTTGGTTATGCATATGGCAGAACGATAAGCACCTAATATATCACCTACCTGTTGTTGTTTTCTTCAGGTAGACTGGTCCGGGCCTGTGTGCCATGTGAAGAAACTGAGCCTGGGGTGTTGTTGCAGCGAAATGGTCTCAATTGCTGCAGGGATATGCCGAGAGGTGGAAGTTTCAGAAGAAATTAGCTGAGGGCGGGCGCCTGAAAAGATAAGAAAGTACAGACAGCGCCGAAGTATGAAAAGACTCGGAAGACTACTTATAGTTAACATTTGTGCCCTTTGCAAGATAAAGTGCAAGGTTTACCTGAACAAATCGCCACCGCACGGATCCCCCGATTCCCCCCGACCAATCGATCACCACCGGCCCCGGACGTAGCTTCGACCCAATGTGATGGTTGTATTGGCGATACTGGAGAGGAAGACCTAGTCGTGAGTCGTGACATGCTAAGTAGTCAACTTGGAATATGGCTGAGCACGTACCGGAGAATCTGGAGCTATGTATGAGACCATCTACGAAGCGCCATATGCGAGGTATCTCCCATCCTTGGGTGTGAACACAGTTCATCACTGACCCAATAATTTCAGGGCTGCTTACTCAATTGCGCGGGGGTGCCAATTGACGTGCTTGATGGAACTCCGTGCCTTGCCACAAGAAGCATATCTGGCCACTATCTGGCCTTATTCAGGTTAACTTGTAGTAACAGCTTAGTAGCTGACGACGAGCTCGCTTGTTTTTAGATGAATTTTGTTTCGTTGCTCCTGTTGCCTTCGATGCGATTTTGTCCCCTCAAGGCTCCAGTCACAGTGACGTGATGGATTCTGAGAGGAGAGGCCTCCTAAAATTTTCAGATTCGAAGTCCTCTCTTCAGTCCTACAACCATGACTACGACGGTCGGATTCTTGTCGCTTCCTACAGAGCTCATATGTCACATTCTAATCCTCCTTAACCCCAGGGACATTAGTCGCTGTGCAATGGTTCGCTATTCCCCGTAGTTCAACACAATTTCCTCCATGGCTAACGTTTGATCATGCTAGACATGCAATATCTTTTGGCTTGTGGTCCGGAATTCTGTCTACATTCAATACAAGCTTGAAATTTATGCCCAGGGCTTGACTAGTACTGGGACCGCTACCATGGATTCGACCGGCGTTTCCAGAAAGACTCTGTGTTCGCTCAAGAAATTGGCATCTTTGTGGCGATCCGACTTCCATGCGACCACTACCTTTGAAACAGTGGTCACTACTGCTGCTGCCACATGGGGACGCATGTTACGGATCCAAGATGTAAAATGTGGGCTTTGGTGGTCTCGCTCGCTGGACGGAACGAAATTCTACATTCAAGGTTGTGGCACGAATCCTACACTCTCCAGCACATGGTCTATCGGCGGTGGTGCCCAGGGCTCTCTTACTACCTTCGACCCTCTGCAGGATCTTATGGTTGTGCGTTCTAATCGTTGTGTCACTGTGACCGATGCGGAACAAGATTACCGTGTCTGTCGGGTGGAGTTCCGACTGGCTTCATCCCAGCGTCCACATCCGAGTGCCGAGTGCACTTTCTTGGAGTGCAAGCATACCTTTCCGAGTACACCTGGCGATTACCGTGCTGCTATGTCGCCACCTGTAATCTGTGGTGATCACGTATTTATCCTCTATCACATAGAGATCATGGATTGCTGCGATTATGAGCATGTGCCCGGCATGTTCATACAAGTCATCAATTGGAGGAAGGGATATGTGAATAGGGTGAGTTCCCTCTGTTTGTGCAAATTCTGCTACTCAGCATAAGCAGCATTTTTTATGTCACCTGGATATCTGCAAGTTAGATCTGTTCTATCCAGTTGATGAACAGAAGTTTGTCATCATTGGCCCAGAATCGTTATACTTGTACACGTTACAAGGGTTCAATGGGTCGCCTCAGTGCCGAATCATATATCACCTTCCCAAGATCCTCCATCTATCATTATACGACTCGCGCATCAGGGTTCATGGCCACCCGTCACTGCATGGCAAAGCAGCACATCCAGGACTCATGCCGAGCTATGTACCCTCCTTGGAGTCGCAAATTATGGTTTTAGAGTCTGTTACAAGAGCAGGGGAATCTATTCTAGTCATCGACATGGCCATCTTCTCTGACATGGCCCTGCGCTCAGATATGCTCGTCGACATTTCCTGGTCAGATTGGGGACCTCAGTATGCGTCCCACTTTCCACACCACACAAGCCACCATATCAGCGTTTTTGGCAGCAAAATGGCCTATGCTCTTCCCCAAGATCGTATTCCTGATCCTCGTCAAACACTGGAAGGGCTCTCCAGCGAGGGTTACTTCTATGTGCATATCTGGGACTTCAATAAGCGAGCCATTGCTCGTTCGGAAAGTGTCAACGATCCTGACTCACCGGATCTTCGCATTTGCAAGCCGGGTCAGATCATTGACTCCTTTGGTGAAGACATCTTCTCGAATCGTGCATACATTGCAACGGTCTGTCGTACGCCATTTTTGACAGCTGGGTCCAGGATATTCTTGGAACAGGATCGGCTTACTGTGACATGGGTACGTGTTCTTTGTTTGAACACAGGAACGGTCTGATGTGACCACATTGTAGGCTCGGCATCGTGAGATTAGTATCCAGGTCATTTCCCCCGTCCGGACAGACGTTGGCCTGGACATTACAGAATAGATAGTTTGGAGTAAAACAGCTGGGACTCAGCGACGCCGATGTAGGTTTATTATGAGCAATATGCGTTGTGTTGGCAAGCAAAATAGTAAATTTGTTTTCGCAGCAAAACAGGCGGGGTATAAGTATTTGCATCGGGGTTATATGCGATTGCCACAGCGTTGAGGTCTGTCACTCTAGAGGTCGATACATAATCAAGCTGAGTCGAGTGCTGATGAGCAGTCGGGGAACCAGGACATTGCTGAATGGCGACGAAGAATATCGCAGTGCTTCTATGCCACCGGCTTCCGTCTGGTGGCTCATCATGCTGTGGGCATGGGTGAGAATATCAGCAGGAAAATGCTTAGATATAGTAGCAACGCAACCTGTCATAATTGCATGACGCTCAATATGAGATAGCTGAAAGCAATAGCATTGGTACTTGCGCTAGTATTATGACTGACTCCAAAAAAGCTGTCCGAACACCGTGTCCCAGGACCTCCTCATTGACAATTGTGATCTAGACTTGAGCTTGCATACATCCATGGCCATGTACCGACGATTCGATTTTTTCGTGGTGTAGAGCAGAATCACATACTTCTGTAGTTCTCACGGCTACAATGTCAACCATGAATCATTTTCACTCAGCATGAACCGGAACGAACTAACTGCTTGGTATCCTACACATCTGAATTGCATTCAAGAACGGTAACGATATGGAGGATTCGATGTTCCGTGCTGTTCACGAGAGGCTGTACTAGGCTAGGTGCGGTGGTTATGGTTACTTCTTCCAGCATACGAATGGAAATTCAGGTGGCAGTTTCGCCCAGTGGCCGGGCCATATTCATGGAGTATAGTACCTCGGCTCCCCTTGACACCACCGAGGCGGTTCCAACATGGGATTCGGAAACAACTATGTATATACCTGTGACCATTGAATATTGAGGATCCCAACGGCTCAAATGTAAGCTTCTTTTACCATGTCTTTTCCTCCAGTTCTATGTTGATACGGAGCTCATATATATTCTTTTCTTGCAGAATTGCTATCGACTCCAATGGCCGGACATCGTGCCTGTCGAGATTACAAGTGCGTATATGGTTTTTTCTTGAAGTATACCGTGACAAATGGAGTGATAAATGGAGACTCAGGCCCGCCGTGATCATGATACTAATCATGGAGAATCCTACTCCCCTTAGAACCACCGAGGGCGAGGCGATTCCGACATCGGAAACAACTACATATAGACCTCTGATTTCCTGGATCCTAACTTGAATACAGGCATATATTTTCCCCCGGTGGAACGGGCACGTACTGCAAGGGCGCAGAACATCTACCGACTTCGACGGGACCTGGACATCGCTCCCGTCACTAGTGGGCTATTAGCCAATATCAAGATCACCTCAAAGTGAAGTCCTTTGAGTCATCATAGAAATTTCGAGCAAGCGCCGTATCTCTGAATCTTCTAGCGCAGGCTCAAAGTAGTGTATATTTGAAACAAGAAATTAGGCAAGACAGTGATATCTGCTTGCTAAATTGCTAATATGGTCCGACCTCGAATGCCACACTAGAGATTGTCGGGTTCTTACGCAGACAACACTTCGTAAGAGGAAACAGCGAAACCCTGGCTATATTTGACAATTCCTGGGTAACATGATGGGTACTCACGAATTCGTGGCCGTACAGGCATAAAAAGTAACCGTTGAAAGGTCAATCGTTCCTTCATGAACATGGCATCACTTCTCAAAGTTCAATAGATAGCGTTTACACCTCCAAACATCCCCTCGAGTAAAGAGACTATTCCCCAAACGTTCAATGAGCGGGTGTTCACTCGGCTTATTATATATGGGTTTCCGATTATGAAAGTGAGTGTTGTTACTGCTTGTCTACAATAGACATCGTATTACCTTCTTGTTCTTATCACCACATGCAGCGGACAACTTCTTCATACGAGCTTTCCGCTAAACTCTTCGCCGGTTCATTACCTAAGCTCACTTTATCTTTCGTATATAGCTCGTACTGGCTGGTAGCACACCTCAGAATTCTTCTATGCACACTGAGGTGTGTATATGTCTCACTCGTATCGCACTCATGCTCATATACCCTGTCGTCCTCCCACTGCTCTAACGTACAGACTTTAGCGCATATGTGATTTGTGCAAGGGTATGCACGTTAGAGCAGTGGGCCCCAGCCGCATAGTGTTGCTGCAGCTCGGCTTGATAAGCCACAGCTTATCTCATAAATGGCTGTTAAGCCGAACCGCTAGAACCAGGGACTTCGAGGGGCAGTAAAAAAGGTTCTCTAATCCGCTAAGTTATATATTTAGTCTAGTTTTGTATCGGAGGGTTTTCTTGATGCACTTCGAGCGCAATCGTCGAAAAGATCATTTCCGCGATAGCGCCCGAAGTTTTTTCTATGTTAGTCAAAGACCCTAACAGATATACTTACATACAGTAGAAATGTTGGATTTTGCATAGTCTTCGATTTGATTTCAACTCTCTCATCGTTTGCATTGTTGAACTTCTAGCATATACCACACCACGATTATGGCTCCTGTTGGGACAATCATACGCATAGTCAATCTCACCTCCTTGCATTGACATTGTTCAACATGTGAGAATCAATTTGAATATCGTATTTAGTGTCACGGCCTTGGCCCAGTGCAAAGCCTCACTCTGAACACGTCGAAATTTAATGATAATGCTCTCGAGACTTGGACCACCGCCGACCCGAGTCTCCACTAGGAATGAAGACAACATAGAGGGGGCTGATACTCTGGACAGAATGTGACGATGTAATTGTGTTCGGGAACTTGACTCGGCCGTTGATTCTCAGCTGCCAGTGGGCCAGTTAGGAAAGACTTTGTAGGCCATTCAATTGAAGGAGCTCTCCGAATATATTGTACACTCGAAGTGTCATTCCTTCATTATCACATTTTTGACGAGTATCGACGCTGTCAGAAGAAATATCAGCAACGTGTCCCTGCAGAAAATGAAGAACCATTGCACAACGACAATCGTTCCTGGGGGTAAGATGTAAATGATGAGCTCCATAGGAAACGACGGCCACCGAATCGAGAAGAAATGGACAACAGATTTGAGACTAAAATTCAACATTACATAGAATTTACAAGTCATAGCTCGACAATGACGAATAACTATGGATTACGATGATCGATCAGCCACGAAGGCACATGTCCTCGATCAACATAAACATGTTGATGAAGCAAACGTCAATAAATGCACGCTGGAGTAACGAGGGAGCAGGTTGAGCAGCAGAGACACAGAGAGGATGGTGGTGTGGGAGGCACCTGAGTGCGATGTAAAAGTTGTAACAACCATAGTTTACATCTTGAGCAGGTTGTTGCGTCGTCGTCTATACCTGAAGCGGAGGCTGTGGCGTCGAGTTTGGTTGTGCCGCAGGTGGAGTTGCCGCTGAGGACGACTGACCGGTTGGCTTTCACAATAGACGCGCGCTACGTGACCTTCTGGAGATTCGGTTATGCATATGGCGGAATAAAAAGCACCTCATACACCACTTACCTGTTGTTGTTCTCTTCCAGGCAGAGACTGTTGCGGGCTTGTGTGCCACGCGAAGAAACTGCGCCTGGGGCGTTGTTGCATCGAAATGATCTTGATTGCTGCAGGGTGAGGGAACACGGAAGTTCTAGAAGCAGTTAGCTGAGGACGGGTGGGAACGCCTGGAAAGATAACACAGTACAGACAGCGCCGAAGGATTATACGACTGGGAAGCTACTTATCGTTAACATTTGTGCCCTTTGCAAGATAAAGTACAAGGTTTGCATGGAAAATCGCCGCCACACGGATCTCCTCGATCAATCGATCAGCACTCCACAAGGCTTTGTACATAGCTTCGAGCTGTGATAGTTGTGTCAGCAATATTGGGGAGGAAGACCTAGTCGAACATGGCAAGGCGGGGTATTTTCCTGTTGTAATGATATTGCTAAGTAGTCGACTTGAGGTATGGCCAGCACGTACCGGAGGCTCAGCGCTCAGGAGCTATGTCACATCCTGGACCATCTACGAAAGTACTAAGTTACTTACTATGTGCGTCGTGTCTCCGACTGACAAGGCTGCTTACTTAATTGTGCGGGGGTAGTACGGAACTTCCGTTCATCGTTCACTGTACTACTTACTTGGTCCAGATGCATGATGGCTTCAGGTATATTGGATGTACTAACTTGCTCAGGCCAACGACCAGCTTGCCTTTTTTCAGATTTGTTGCTTCTACCTTC